ATTTCCTCCTCCTTAAGGCAAGGTATGTGGCAAATTTATATCCACTAATTTACCTATGGTGAGCTATTTACGTCCATCAAGTCTGATTTGGTGCTGCTACATACATACACTGCAACCGGTGTTGTGTGCATGCAATCCCATTTTATCAACTTTTTAATAATTGGTTTCATACGATGAAATAAATTAGTAAATTTACACAATTGGAAACTTGATCGTAAATAATGCATTACTTCCGTGCTTTAATCATTCACTTCGTTTAGTACAATTAAATTGAGGATTATGTGTTCTTGTTGCTGGAACATTTCGTTATTCCTGCAACGATTAGGATCTAAGTAAGTAGAGCATATGTTGATAAATATGTATGTATGTGCATACAAGACATATACATAAAGTACTCTTGGAGTCCGGTGAATATATGCAAAGATAGAGATCGAATTACAATTTTCTATTTCTTTTTTATTAAACAACCACGCACAGGATTTCGCCCTCTTCTGAGGAGTCCAAAATTACAGTTTTCTCCAATATTTGTATATTGCTTCTAAATATAAGCAACATGATGAAATAACTCAATTTCGAAATCTGTATTTGTTTGAATTTGTTGACCTTTATTTTCATAAGTTCGTCTTGATTAAACGGAATTGGGCAATCACGATCATTAAATCATGCGTGAATTGCCCATTTCGAGTAAAACATTTCTCCTTTGTTTACAACCTACAGCTTGAAATGAGTGTAATGTATACTGTATAAATAAAACACGTATATATATTCCAATCTAGCTGATGGATCTATGTAGCTGCTGGTGTATGGAAACACTCTATCATCTCTCCTGGACGGACACCCCATACTTAAGTTGTTCAGCGTGACCACACTGGTACAACATTTCGCGTGAATTATCGTTCAAAAGTCACGAGCAGCTAAAGCAATTGGCGATTACACACACAACAAATCAAATCCATGAATAAAATACAAAGCCGTAAAAGTATCAAGTAACAACAACAATAAGTGTAACGATGAGCTACAACAAGTTTGCAAGCTTTTTTTTACCCCTTCTTCGTACGCATATTATTTAGGTGGACGTGGACCTGGTGAAAGAGGCGAAGACGAGAAGAATCAAAATAGCATTTTCTTTTTACTACGTTTTCTTTGTTTATGTTGCCCATTTCCAAAGATTTATGAGTTAATCTTTATTGAAGCGTGCCATTTTTGTTTGATATTGGGTGTCCATAAATATGTACACATGTATTTATGGGACTTAATGCTGGGAAGTGGGAGGAGGAGCGGAACGGAGAGGAAGGGTGAATTTAAAGCTAATCTTAAACACGGTCCGGTAATATTCGTCTAATATAAAGCCATTATCAGCAACGAGAGCTGCTCAACTTTTAACCATTAATACCCGTGTATGTACATACATATGTGGTCATGTGGGTTGTCTCGTTCCGTCTCAAATTCTGAATTCGAGTCACAACCTCGTCCAAGTGCACGCTTTACGAAGCAATGACAATAAAAATTTGGTGACGATAACCAAACTTTAAAACTTGAAGGAATGCCAACATTTCAAATTCGGATGCATTTGAGCAAAGAAACGGTTGCTTTGCTTGACATAATTTGTACAAAAACAACAAATTGCAGACGACGGAAGTCAAAGGATTGATTTTCAAATTTGTGCCAACGCCAGCAACGGCATTTTCCCACCAAGGATGACAGATCGTGTCTTCATTTGCCACAGTTAGTATTCTTCTCTCGAACCAAAACAAGCAATTTCCTGTGGAACAGCATTTCTTCAAAAAGTGAAAGTTGGTGACTGGTTGGGCAGGGATCTTTCATCAGAAATGTCGTCATGATTATTTAATAAGTCACAACAGTAACTTTTTTAACATTGCAAAAAAATATGATAAGGAAAGTCGCACTTTTAGTTAACCCATGTCAGTTTAAAGATTACATTTTTTCGACGACTCTACCAAGTTGTGCATGATTGTACCATAATATCCATAAGATCCATAATATCAAAAAAAGTCAAGCAAAACGCCGAGCAAAAAAATAAGGCAAAGTCAACTCTCGAATTCCAATGATGCCATGTCTTTTGTTTTCTTTGGTAGTTTCGTGTACGTTGAATTTTGGGAGATAAATCTCAAGACTATTCCATCACAAACAGTTGTTGTTTCCCATCCCAGAAGTACAGCATTGCTGACGTTTGACTTGAAATGATATTTGGAAATTTGAAATTGGACATTGTTCATTGAATTGTGGCCAACTTGCCGTGTAGAATACTAATCAAGTGTGCTGTTTTGTTAAGTATAATCCCACCCAATGCTCCATCCATAACCAATAATTATAATATGCTGGATACAACCGACCGTATATTGAGTGTGTATGTACATAGCATAACCTGCTTCTGCACATTGGACCGAGAAATGCTCGGCTGATACTATAAATAAAAGAACAAAACCTGAAGGGACGACGACGGTGTCATAACTTATTCTTGAAAAAAATTCTCACTACTCGAGATTATGCAAGCTTTCGTAAGGAGCTCGAGTGAACAGATTTTTTCACGCAGCACAAAAAGGTTCCACTTTCATTTAACTCGGAGCTTTCCAACTGATGCAAACAGTTTAACAGGACAGAAAATGGATACACACGGGAGGGTCTCTCTTTCTCTCCAAGTTTTCTGTCTTCAATCCATGTACGTATGTAGGACGTTACAATGGCAAGGGTTTACTTGCTGTTGAGGGCTTTCCCCACCACCACGGCACAAGTATTAGTAGTTTGGGTTGGCGTTGGCGTTGGCGTACTTTATTATCGTATAGTGTATGTAGTCAATGGGTTGGCAAACCTGAAGGCTGGGCAGAGACTGTCAACGTGAATGTAAAATATGGGAAACGGTTGATCGAATTTTGTAGGTCCACGGCCGCCGTTGTCGTCTTGTGGTGCCTTGGTGGTGGTCCTTGTTACTTTACTAGACGCTTATTATGAGTCTTCTTACCATTGACTGCACTGCCATTTCGACAAACCCACGCCTAGTCAAATATGTTTTGCAAATGCCAATCCCACGAAACCGTACCAAATCAGAGTCACTACTATAACCTGAAGGAGGGTGCATTTGATGTTATTGTTTCTCCTGAGTTTTATAGAACTTGGCAGTGTGTTGCTGGTTGAAGCTCATCATCTTATTTTGAGTTTATTTGGTTTCATGTCAAATATTTTGGGTTTGATCCATTAAAACTTTGAATAATACGTGCGGAATAAATGGATATGCTTCTTCCAAGAACAATTTTCAACAATTTCCAACTTGAGTGCCGTTACGTTCAACATATTCTCATTTCCTTCACCACCACTATCACGAAGTGCCGGAGGGATTTGGTAGACATGTTGAATTGAGTAAAGAAAGTTTTTGACCATTCCTTGTTAAAGTTAACGTTCCAATAATGTTCATCTTATCAACCCGTTCTGTACAGTTGTTGGAAAGCTTCAATCGTTTTTGTTGTAACACAAGAACATAGAAAATGTTGTGGGTAGTAGTTATGAGCCAGCAGCTCGGCGGTTGCAATAATGCTCTGTTGCCCGAAGACGACGTTCTTCACTCATCTTTGGGGAAAGATGTTCACACAAGTGAAATGAAAGTAGTGGTCTGGTGATGGTGGTGGAGTGTGGGGTGAGGAAAGTTTCTGATGATTTTGTCCCGAGTGGATATCCAATCGGAAAAGTTTTCATTGTCCAACTGTCGATTGTCCGGTATGGTCGTCACCGCCGCCGCCGCCAACAGCAGTCAACAGTAGTAACAGCAATAGAACCTTCAAGGAAGCAATATAGTGCGTCCAACCACTCGACGACCCTGGTTTTGTCATCATGGAACTAGATATCTGTATGAATTGGAATAGTAACTTAACCACCAACAACTTGCTATGCAATGCAGGTCGGATTTATATTTCTGTGATTTTACATCCACCATTTCCACCCACCCCATTGTTATATATCAAAAGGATTGTTTCCAATAAGCTGCTCTTCTGCATATTACAGAATGGAAATATGTCGTGAAGACGAGTTTCTCGTGGGTTTTCATTATGAGCGGATTAAAGGAATACAACAACCTGGGTCGTCCACAGCTTATTTTCTTTCAAACGTGTGTTTCTATATATGTTCGGAGCCACCTAGGACGCGGATGTTTTCCACTCTAATGGACGCAGCATAATACTTTGCATGTTAAAACAGAGTGAGAGAGATTGGATGATATATCTTCATAAACAATGTGGAGACGACAGGTGAAAATATATGGCTGGGAAGAGTAGCGTAGGATAAAGATGGAAAGCACATGATGATGATGAAGGAGTGAAAGGTGAAGGTGGTCGTCCTCTTCTCGTCGTCGTCGTCGTCGTCCGCTTTCTGTGGGTTCATTCATGCACATCTCATCATCAAGTTGACGGCCCACTTGAACTTATTCTAATCGAATGCCACTTCCATCCAAGTCCCAATTCCCACCATTTCAAGAATTCGCGAGTGTTGAACAAACTGAACACAAACTAAAAACTTCATCCTCGCCCAGCCAGCCATCGCCACGCCACGACATGCTTTGTGAGCATCACCTGCTACTTCTGCTACTATACTCCCACACCCACTGACAAGATTGTCTCTGTTCAGTGTTCAAACAACGTTTGACTACTCAAGTAGTACTAGCAACACTCGGAGGAATGTTCATGCATTTTGATGGAGGAGTTTTTTTTTTAAAAAAAGTTTGTTCAGAGTCCGTCCCAACGTCTCTCTACATATCTCACCAACTTTATGAGGCTGCGGTGGACCAGAGAAGTTTTCCTGGAGAAAACCTTTATTTTGATTGTAGACTATACTATGGATGATGCGTCATGAGCATTATTTTTTTTACGAATTCTACAATCTACAGAATGGAAATTGAAATTGTTTTCTAGGCAAAACCTGAGATTTTCAAAATGCTTATAATTTTAGAATAAATTGTTTTCAAATATTTGTGTCTTTCAGTGCGATATGTTTGATTTAATACAAATTGGCTTGAAATTTTTTCAAATTTAGAATTTTAAAATGGTTAGGTATTCAAGAGAGATTTTCAGACATCCAGTACAACACTGGCAAAAGATACACTAAAAATTTGGAATTGGCCATGGTAGTGACATGGTAGTAGCTCAGGCCATTGCAGGTAAGTGTAAATGCTGGTGAGGACGATTGTGGTGAGAGTGATTTTGAGGAGGCTCAGGTTCTTTGGCTGCATGGACGAGGTCAATTAATTGGCTGTCTGGATCAGCAACAGTGGTGACAGATTCATTGAGGCGGTGGATATTGTCATCTTCCATTGCTAGAGAACATGTGTGCATTTTAATTATCAGGTGTACTTTACAATTAGATAAACTATTTCAGATAAACCGTTAACGTATCTTGTACACTAACCATTAAGACGGGCCCTGCGTCGTAGCAAGTACCGGTCCCAAGAGAAAACAAGCCACATTTCATACACTCTTATTGCCAATGGAACCGCGTGCATATAGTTCCATTCGACTTTGAGCCAAACCATGTGACCAATTAGCAACGCAGAAGCATAGGTATTGCACACCATATAAAAAATCCCTGGCCATCGTTTCATCTAAAAAAAAAAATGATGACTGGATGATGACGATGATTTAGTTATACACTTAGTAAACTTACAAAAGGGATACACAATAACAAAGTCCACCCCACCACAGCCGAGGAGAAGTATGCCGCAAATAGCATCCAGAGGGAATCTACCACACAAATTAAGAAAACCTTGTCATTACCCCTAGAACCTTTCACAATTATGAATATCTCCCCGTCTTGCATATATCATGATTTTCCATAAATTCCTCCCAATCGTTAAGGTAACTTAAATTAAAACCTTTCATTGTAGACTGCTTCTGCTTTATGTCCAAGGCGCAAATGTTATACGCTACAAAGATCGTCACGCAGGTGTAGATAAACTAATAATTATCAAAGTCAGGTAAGTAACATACTATGTCATTCAAGATTTAGAATAAAAAATAATAAATAAACCCACTCCATCCGCAAATGAGAAAAGCTCAACCGTACTTCCCAATTTAGAGCACGGTGGGAAACAGCAAACCCTATTTGGGGCGCAATAACAATTGTCGGCATTCGAAACTTCGTCAGCCGAATCCTCCTCAAGCACCCAGTGCCGAGCCATTTCGATGAGTTGATGGGAAGGTCCTCGATTTTCACGACGTTGTCGACGTTGATCGTTCTGGTTTTGCCGTGTCTCCTGCCGGTTCCGCTGGTGATGGTGTTCTCCATGTTCTGCCCGTTGTTGTGCTGGTGGTGGTGGGGGTAAATTCCCATCCCCTGCGGCTGCAACCATGGCTGAGTTGTCCACTTCAACCATGACGAGTTGATGTTACTACAATAGTTAGATAATTCGAATGATAAGTGAGGAAGAGAGAGAGAAAAAATGCGAGATGCTGTGTCGGCCGAAGTCAAAAAATTATGAGAGCCAGCAGCTGCTGGATGGACTTTTCACTACTTTTTGGAATCGGTAACTATGAGCAACCAAAAATAATGAGCAAAAATGCTGATGACCATACGTCGGATATGAATGAAAAATTACTTTTTCCATTTATTGACCTACAGGCACCAAACTTTCTGAGAATGTTTATGGTCACTAGTAGTTAGGTCACGTAGGTCAAAGCATATTTTCTCATATTGGTCATATTTTCAGGTTTTGGGACATATTCATATTCCCGATCATATTTCGGGGTTTTTTTCGTTCATTTTATCATTTTTGGCCAAATTCTAAGATTTGGCAACCAAATCGACAGAAAATGACAAAAAATTCAGTTTTCTCACAATGATTCATTGTGAGAAACTTTCAGAAATTTACGTTCAGTTTCGCCTCAGGTGATTTAATTCATTGGGAATGCATTAAATCACCCCAGAACTTGTTTATTTGAAAAAAATGAGCATTACAAGAAAATATATCAAAAAATTAAGCCAAAAATTTAAAAAATAAAGTCATTTTTATGGTCATATTTTGGGGATTTTTACGGTCGTTTTTCATTCATATTTTGAGGTTTTATCGGTCATTCATATCCGACGTCTGCTGATGACAATGACTATGCATAAATGTCTTGAAAACTCCTTCGGAATAAGTTCATTTCATTTCATTATTAAGTTCACATTATCGGCTGCTATTTAGTCCTTGGAAATAAATATAGATTGCTGATGCTGCTTTGCTTTAAAAATTATATTTATTAAATATTTATATCCACCAGAAAAATATGCCTTATTGCTCACAAATCTCAACTGTTAATTTTCAGCACACAAAACAAACATGTTTCATGTTATATAAATGTTGTTGTGTACTGAAAATACTGAAATATATATAAATGTATCATCGCAATCATATAAAAAGTCACTACTGTGACGGATGGACGCCTCCAGTCTATTTTTTGGCAGCCTAAAATTCCAGCACGCAAATTTGATATCATCAGAACAGAAAGACGATGTCTGAGTTCACTACTTGAAACGGACAAGGTTGAAGTCCTCAAGTCCACAATTTACATTTCATTTAGACTGTTTAGTCAGTTTAGTGCCAAACTGGAGAGAACTTATTGTCGTAAAACCGCCATAAAAAGTAAGTTTGGTGAGTAAACTAAGTTTTTCTCTCGATCCATATATTTTCTACACAATGTACAAAATGAGATGAGCGCAATACTATTCTAATTTGGGGGGAGGGCACGACGACCGTCGAATTGGAAGGGTTTACTTCGTATTGACGAAACATGTTGAGATTGGAACGGCATAAAATACATAATTGCACATTTAGTCAGAGGAAGCTCGTGACAATTTTTGATGCATGACTACAGTGTGATTTTAGTCGAGGTCAAATTGTGACGAAATAAGTGCCCCCCTCCAGTGAGGAAATTTATAAACTTGCAAATTCAAAATAGTAGTAAAACTCGGAGCCAAAAAGAGAGACAGCCGGCATGCATAGCTGGAACAGTTGACTCTAAAGTAAATTAAATGTATAAAATCAAAAGCACTACTCATACCTTCCTCCCCGTCTATCTATCTATTAACGTATACAACTTCTTCCTCTTCCTCATCGTCGTCTCGTCGTTGTCGTAATGTAAAAGATGCGATACAAATTTTCTTGGCAATCGTTGTAGTAAAATGTTTATGACGGATCCTTGATAACCCGATACCTACAGGGCCACGCCAAACTCTTTCCGATACTCGTCAACTCTTGGTCTCTCTGCTTGGTGAAGTTGGCATAAGCTGATGCTGCTGGAGGAGGAGGGTTGAGATCAAAATCCAATTAGGGACATGTCGCTCATCAGGATCAAATTAACGGATCACAAGAAACCGTTTTTTAGTTAACTCTAAAGTAATAACTCTGGGAGGCAAAATATCACATTAAATATTTGGTAGCAGAGCAAACCAACATTTTGACAAACCATATTTAATAGAAGCGCAATAAAAATTCATGATATTAAAAACGGTTCGTCTCATCACGAGAGTGAAAACTACTTGGTTTCCATCCATCCACCGATAATGATTTATTTTAGACGAGTTTCTTGCCCATGTTTGATTTCCCAGTTTCGAACCCACTACCACCATCACAGTTCGCATAATATGGTTTAAAAACACTTCACATGCATGCATACATGCTCGTGATCAAGACCCACGCTGATTTAGAAACACATTAGGACTAAGCTTTCATCTTACTTTCGAAATAATTATGTAATTTTCCAGCTCGGAGTTGAGACATTTGAAATTTGAGCTGGGAGGTTTTGTGAATTTATGTGAGCAATAAAGCCAGTCCCTTATGGCAGGGGAGTAAGCTATGAAAAATTTAAGCAAGTTTGAGCGTCTCTCATGCGAAGCCTATGTGTTATGGCCTCTGGACTACGGAAGAGGAAGATGGTATTATACGAATCGCGTAGTTGTAGAGTCTCGGAACGAATTAAAAAGTTGGAGAAAGCGAGCTCGCATCTTGGTCGTCCCTTCTTCTTCCCCGCCCATCTTTTAGTCCTTCTTCTTCTGGGTTCGTGTCCATTGTCTCCGTCTCCAAACAAAGCAAGCACAAGGCACCCACCCACCCACCACCACCACCACCCACCCTATAAATTCAAATGTTTTCCCTGCTCAGAACCAGATGCATACAGATTTAGTATCATTCAACTATCAAATTTAAACAAACATTAAGTAAGTCTCACTCAGTCTCATTGTCAGTCCCAGCAAGGAGCGAAGGTTTACCAAGTTGCTCTTGGTGGTGGTGTGGCGGATGGGAGATAAACTTTGGCAACAAATCTTGGAGTGAATTTGGAACCGTCTCATTAACTATTAAAAAGGAAGGGAGGCATTGAACATGTCAGGGGGTGATATATAGTTAATTACCATCCAAGATGTGTCCTCCAACCAAGGGGGCACCAGCAACGCCTGCCTGCCTCAGTCCACCACGACGGGTCCTTCATCGTCGCCACTCTGCATGACTCTTTATTCTTCTTCTTCAACAACTAGACCATGCAACACCGCAATCTGTGAGAACAAGCAAAGTTGACGCCGTTCTTCTTGCCGAGCATTGACTGCGAGCAGTAGTTGCATCAAATCTCTGGAGACTGAAGCGATGCGATTAAATTGTCTTTGAAAGGGGTATAATAGTAAAAGCATGACAGAAAGGACATGTTTTTCTCATGCATCTCTTCGGAGCAGGTGATTTTCAAGTCAAAGAAAACCAGATCCTGCCAGCTAGTCGTCGTCTTCTTCTTCATACTTCAGCAGGAAGGAGCAGGCAGGAGTAGGAGTGAGAATTAAGGTAGCTGGCTGTACTACGCCCTGGCTGAATTTGTTAGTATTCCGCGTAATGAGCTCAAACATATTTTACCACAAACAACCTCTGGTTCATGTTCCCGTATAAGGACGAGAGTGAGGGAGAGACATGATTTGCATCACTCCGACTTCTGGTCTCCCACACGTAGGGGCAACTTATAGGAGCAAAGGTGAAAATTCAAGCCATGCATTATGAAGTTAAATCTCGTTTCAAACTTTCACTTCCATTCTAGAAGGATTTGTTCCACAACCACTGCTCGCTCGCCCTCCTGCTTCATCTCCCTACCACCAACATGTCCAAAAGTAACTCCTCGGCGAGATCCATTCATCTGCCTAAACTAAACGGAGAAAGTTACGTCGGCAAGGCGTAAGCCCATGTATAAATGATACAGCGATATCAAAGTTGAACTTAGAATGACGGACGAGGCTCGTTAATTTTTGAAAAAGTTGTACCATAATGACAAACTACTGAAATTTGGGGTGGAAGAGCAGTTAAGTTAGTGGGATGGGATGGGTTATTAACTTGTTCATGAACTATCATTTCATCCCACACCCACTCTCATCAATTCGCAATTTTACCAACCATCCAGCCTACCTACCAACCTATCTGCCTACACATAAACCATTTCTAAACCATCGCCGCGGTAAATAACAAAGAGCAGTCGTAATCGTGATCGCTACTTATTTTACATGCCATCCTTCTCCACAGAATGGAATTTCTCCCTACAACTTTTAGGCATAGAGATTAACTCATTAGCTTTTGGGTTGTTCTATGCATTTTGAAAACTGAAGGAAATATTGCTATTTTAATGTCCATTTTCCATCCATGGATCCCAGTCCTATCTAAATTTGACTAATTGTGTAATTCAATCATGCGTATTTCTTCTCCCTGCCTTCTGAGAATTTGCGTAATAAAACTAGATAAAATACAAAACTTTACGCATCAGTCCCATCCAAATAACATATTGATAACTCAGCAATGATAAAGACCCTCCTACAACTCCTCCTCATAAATAGTTCCTCCGAGTTCATACAGAATAAAGCCTTCAATTTACTCAGACTACAATAAAGCCCCACACAACAAAAAGATTATTTCATTTCATTTGTCCTGCCATACACACCTTTCCCAGGTTTCTTTAATCTAGATGTCAACCCATTCTATATTTTAGGTCTTTGGAAAACCCGTTTCCCCTTTATCGACGAACACGCCAGAAACCCATAAATCCCCAGGTTTTACCTCTCTCTCTCTCTCTCCGGTAAGTATGTGCGAATTTGTGCCTTTGCTTGGTGTGCGTCTGGTTGGCTTCATTTGTTGAATGAGAGAAAAGTACAGTTTGTTGGTGGAAAGTGCGTCTTTAGCGTCGCGGGATGAGATGTAATGTCGAATGGTCTCCCACATACGAGTACACATGATGCGGAGTGAAAGCAGTTTTTGTGTTTTCAAATGTGCTGAGTGGTAATAAACTTGGATGGATAATTCGGGCGTTTTGGTTCTGCAGTAATTTTTACGACTTAACGTTAACGTTACTATCATTTCATGGGCAGGTAGATATGTGTGTGAGTAGAATGGCTGTGTGGGTTTGAACACTCACAACCAACAATTTCATCCCACATCTTGTCAACTCCCTTCATT